ATACAATAATTTTTATCTACAATAAAATATGGCAGAGGAAAAAACTCAAACCTTTTGAACATGCATCTGAAAAGGCTCATGTTTGTTTGTTTATTCAAGAGTAAATAAGTGTAGCTTGCATTTATGATGACAAAGCCAACAAGTCTAGTTTCATAGAAAAGAATGGGAATAAATATCTTGAACTTAACACCTAACACATTATGTCAGGGGAACATCTTTGAACACAGGCTTACTAGAAATGCATATCTGCCTTAATGGGGCTCTTGGAGAATGACAGTAGTTTATCACAGAACCAGATGGTTGCAGCTGCTCGTGATTCTTTCTGAATATTTGCTTTTCCACTTCTGATGCAACTCGCATCTGAAATATAAAATGTAAATTAAAGTGATGGAAAAATATTTGTGAGGAAAATGCACATACATGTGAAAAGTCTGTTTTAGTTCTGTCTTCAAATACTTTTATCCATTACACATGATTGGAATAAACTGCCAAGGCTCCAATTTTAAATGAAAGCTCTTTAATGGAAATTAGTATATGTGAAATTCCCATGGTTCCTTCCTTATAATAAATGGTTACAGATGGTTTCACTTGCCAAAAATGAGGCCTTGGTGAATGTATATATCAGCAAATTGATATTGCTGTCAATGGAAGTCAGCAATTGTCTGAAAAATCATTAAGGGCCAAGTTCTGACATTTTTGTTCCCAGTGAATAGTGACTCATTCCAAAATTTGTCTTTTTTTTTTCTTACGAAGACTGTTACTTAATGTGAACAATATTAATCACAATTGGGCTTCTTAATACCTTGACTGTCTTCAAAATAAATAATATAACAAACCTACATTTCTACTTAACGAAATACCTACTACAAAATTTCTACTTCACTAAATTTTCTTACTGTTGGGTAGGGCTGTGTGAAGCTTCAGTAGCTGGTTCAATTTGGAGGAGATTTGGCCTGATTTGGTGCCAAATCTCTGAACCTGAATCGAATTGGGAGACCTGTTAAAAGGTCTGAATGCAATTGGAAGCCTCCAGATCAATTTGGAGATTCAGAAGGCTTGCAGCAGGTTCCAACAGAGTTTCAGGTTTTGATGGGGTTTTGACTTTATGATGCTGGACATGGCTGCCTCCAGCTGGTAAGTCTGTTGTGGGTGGAGAGGGGAGGGAAGGGGTGGAAGGGTGGGCAGATCAATGCTCCCACAGTGAGGGAGAGATTGGGGTTGCAGCCCAGCTGGGGTGTGAGGGGAATGGGACTGGGGGAGGGGGGCTCCTGCCATTGCGCTGCTATGTGTTGCTGGACCGGGAGGTGCTGTTCTGGTGGCTCCTCCAGCAGCTCTTGCTGCCAGTCTGGGAGGCCATGGGAATGGGTGTGTGGCCCCAGATCTGCACAGGGTGGGCTAGGCTGGGCTGTGCTGCAGGAGGCCAGCTCCAGCCACCTGCAGCTGGAGCTGGGGCTATGCTCTGCGAGGCAGGCTAGCCCCAGCCACCCATCATGGAGCCAGGGCTGCTCTCTGGGCAGCAAGCCCCCACCGCTGGGCTGCGCTCTGCAGGGGAGGTGGAGCCAAGGCTATGCTCCAGATGGCAAGCCCCTGCTGCTGGGCTGTGCTCTGTTGGGTGGGCAGAGCCAGGGTTGCTGTGCGGGAGGCTAGCCACAGCCTGGAGTGCGGCCTTGGCCCTGCCCACCCTGTGGAGCGCAGCCCAGTGAAGGGCAGCTGGGGCTAGCCTCCCTGAGTGCAGCCTGGCCCAGCCTGCCCCACGCAGCTCTGGGGCCACATGCCTGCTCCCATGCCCTCCTGGACAGGTAGCAAGAGCCTCCAGAAAAGCAGCTCCCAGACTGGCGGCATGGGGTGGCGCACAGTGGCGGGAGCCCCCCTCCCTGAGCCCTGCATTTTCCCCTGCCCCAGCTGGGCAGCTTGTCCCAGCCCCAATCCCTCCCTCACTGTGGGGGCATTGACCCTCCCTCCCCCCTGCTCCCACCACAGCAGACTTACCAGATGGAGGCAGCTGTGTCCAGCATCACCAAGAACTGCCTGTATATAGTCTATGGCTGAATCTCTGGCGAATCTCTGAATATGAATTGGCCGAATTGAACTGGGACAGTGATTCGAATCACTGAATCGAATCACTGTCCCTCCGAATCGGCTGAATCCAAAGCAAATACTTGCTGCTTTGCATAGGCCTACTGTTGGGTATGATTGACCTGTCTCTCAGTTTTTGTTCAAGATACACTAATGCAACCAGCAGAGTTCAGAACGTAGTGATCCAGCTAAGCCAATTCTATTTTTATGGAGAGAATAAAAGTACCTTTAGCTACATGAGCTTGACTGAATTTGTTAACAATATGCTTTTGCTGCAGCCAATGGGTATGTACTCTGATTATGTCGAGTATTGGGTATGTACCCTGATTATGTCGAGTAAAGGCTGTGTCCTACTTCCCTAGTCTGGGGATGCACAGGGCAAAAAAGAGGGTCAGCAGGGTGTGGAAAACACTCTTGTTCCCAACTGCAAAAATGCTCTTTCAGCCTCAAATCAGCTGGTCTTTATTTGAAATCTTCCCTGCTTCATGGCAGCCTCTCAAGTATTTGACTCTGGAAGAAGCTTACTTGAACAGAGAAGAAAATGACTGAACTGTCAGGACATTCTTATAATTTTTTCTTTTTTCTGCTTTTTTTTTGACTCCATCCTGTTGTAGCCTTATGTAATTGTTGGTGGGTTTCTGACCACCATTCAGAGCAACATGAAAAGGGAGAGGCAGGAATGGGGGAAAGTATGAAGGAAGGAACTACTACTTATGAACCAGAACAAAGAGGAAAAGGGGCGAGGGGAAATGCCATGGAAGTCCAAATAAAGAAGAAAATGAAGACTAGAAAGAGACAAATATGTAAGAGGGGGAAATGAACAGAACAGTACAGGTAATAGTGACTGTGCCAGGGCATAACAAGATGTGGGACATAGGATACCAATCTATCATGAACAAAAGATTCAACTAAAAATCTTGCTGTGGAATTTGTGGCTTGGTTTTTTTTGATTTTTTTTTTTAGCTGTGTCACCTTTTTATACAAATACCAATGCCAACAGAGTAAACAGCAAACTTTTGTGTGTCCTGGAAAAATATTTCAGCATGTTCCTTGAATGTTAATCTAAACAAATTAACTTCACTTGATAGGCAATGATGTAGGCTTGGACCTCCCTGTAAAATCACAGAAACTTCAGCATTTGAAACATTGTACAGAGATGAGATATTTAAAATCTATATGGCATCTTATTAATGAACAGGTCGGGTCCAAAATCTGTGGTGCCTGGTAATAGATCTGGCTTTTATTTTGCCACCAGGGGAACCATCTGTCTAGGAAAAGTAGCTAGTCACAAATCTTTTTTACAGGTAAGGAGTAAAAAAAAAAAAATATTAGAAAATTTTAGTCTTATTGCTACTCTGATCTGATTAATGGCACACATACAGTAATCTGTCTCATGACTTTGCCAAGGCAGTACAATTCATGAGAAGTCAGTGATGTAAGTCAGCCAAATCAAACAGAGTTCAGGTGCACTGAAAGATATGGTGCAGGTGTGCATCCTTTGATCACAGATTTGATTTTTTTTTTTTTTTTTTATATGACATACAACTTAAACATTGGGAATGACATTGGTGGGAGAATGGGGAAACATTCCTGTCAAAGTAATCCATTTTCTGACAAGAAGAAAATTCGAAGTATTTAGCCAGGTCTTGCTTCAGATTTGATCCTTTAATTTGGCAGATAAAAGCCCATATATAATTAAGGAAGAACTATTTTATCCAGAAAGTGCTTGTCCAACTGTTTGTTAAATGTTGGCCCGGTGTTGAAACATTTGCCTCCTGCCACTTTGAAGGGAGAAATAAACGGGCTGATTTAAAACAAACTGGGAAAAGGCAGAAATGTTAAACTCAGTGGCATTTATTTTTTTCCCCTGTTAAGAATGAAAAGAAGGCTAGGTGGAAGATAATCCTGTTGCCATGATTAAATAAAACATGATACCGTCCAGCCTAAACAGACGATAACAGCACTGGGCTGGCTCCTATCAGAGGGAAACCCGTTCCAGAAGGAAGGCAACAATTTAAAAGGCAGCACACCAGAAAGTAGGCAGGCTGGGGGGAGAAAGGTGAAATGCGTTTTCTCCAGCTGCCTGAATCCTGAGCTGGGTTTAAAGGGCAGGCTTTTCCCTTCTCTGGATTTCAGTTAGACTGTGCCAATGGGCAAGTGGGGGAAGGAATATTAATGCTAGAGCTGCCGAGCCACTGTGGGAAGGGAACTGTTGCAATTATTCATGGAGAAGACGCACACATTTTGTGTGTGTGTGTGTGTGTGTATACGTGGATGTGTGTGTATCTGTACGTGTATTCTATACATATCCATCGAGCAGATCCATTGATAAATATATTTATGAATAATTGCAACACTCCTGCGTGCTCCGTGGTGATGAAAAGCTTGGAAAGGCCACTGCCAACCCTGGGTCGCCTGGAAGGGGATCTCTTTCTCCCCCCTCCCGTGGCCGAGGCGCCCGCAGGCCCCACGGGGGTCTCTCCCGGCCGCGCCGCCGGTGGCCGTGTTGCTGCCGGCACCCCGGGGCCGAAGTTGTGCGCCGCGGGC